TCACCATCCGACCGCCGGAATGGGGAAGTGCTGTTCGAAGTGATCATGGTAGTAAGGCTAGCAGCTTGTCGACAGGGGGCGAGTCATCACTTTTGCTGTAGAGATCGTCGGGGTTGATGGCGAGCACGGCGTCGAACATCTCGTCGTCGCCCGGGGGCCATGAACTCGCGGTAGGCGCCCCTCGCGGTGCCAGGGGTAGAAGCTGTGGTAGCGGGATCATGGCGAGGGGCGGCGCGCGGCAGGGTGGACTGGTCCTTGACGACCCTGGTAGAGGTACTCGTCGTGGCCCCAGCTCATGACGAGGTTCTCGATGCCGCAGCCGGCCTCGTAGACGCCGAGGGGCGTCGCGTAGACGGGGTGCGTGCTGTCGGGGTTGGCGGCGAAGGTGGCGGGCAGGATGATCTTGGGCGAGAAGGCGCAGCCGACGGGAAAGGTGTCGCCGACGACGGACCACTGCTCGGGGCAGCCGTGCATGTAGAGCAGCTTGCCGAGGTCGTGGATGAGGCCCGTCAGCTGCATCCAGCGCGGCTGGCCGTCGCGGCGCATGGCCTCGGCCGTCTGCAGCAGGTGCTGGATCTGCGTCAGCGACGTGTCCGGGTCCGAGTCGTCGACGAGCGTGTCGAGCTTGAGCATGGCGTCCCAGACGGAGAGCTCGGCGCGCGGCGGCGTCGTCGGTTTCGGCGACAGGTCCACGGCGAACTGCTTTGCGGATCGCCATGTTGTAGTCGTACGTCTGGTTGGCGTGCTGCGTCTGGTAGAACGTCTTGACGCGTCCGTCGCCGACTCGTACTGCCGGAACGCCGCCTTGTCCTTTTCGGCGTCAAACTTGGACGACTCGTAGGTTGTTGGTGTTGCTGCTGATGCCGCCGCCGCGGGCTTGGCTGTGTTGGCCGTCTTGCCGGGCTTGCCCTTGAGGATGTTGACGTTGTCAATGGCGTCCTCGACCTGCTCGAGCGCGTGGGCGTCGAGCGAGGCGGGAGCCTGGAAGAAGGGCTTTGGTGTTGCGACCATGGTGTGTGTGTGTGTGTGTGTGTGTGTACTGGGCTATACGTTGAACTGGACAATGCTCTCCTTGATGAAGAAGAAGAACAAGAACAAGAACAGAAATGATGTTTGATGTGCACAAGATGCCCCCCCCAAAGAAAGGCCTTGCTCGATCCTCTTATACCGAACCTCGTTCCGCTTCCCAAACAAGTCCACTCGGGCGATATGGCAGCGACGTGTACCTGATTCTGACGTTGCTTCCGTCGAACGAGATTTCCAAGTGGAGATGACCAAAAGTGCGCACGACAGCTCTGCCACCAACACGATGCCTCGTTACCCGCAATTGTGAAGTCATGCGTGTTCCTATTTTCGCCCGTTTCGCCTCGTGTCCCCTTCCGTGTCGAACAGGGCCATCTTCGCCGAGGGCGACTGGCGCGGGGTTCACCCCGCCAGGGACCCTGTGTGACCAAAGCCGGCAGCGTGAGTGGTTCCAAGAAGGGGGATCGTGACGGGCGAGCCGATCGCCTCGACCAAAGGAGAAACGGGGTCGTCTTTACAGTCGCGATGTGGATGTCGGGGAAAATGTCTCGATTTCAGCGTCTCGAAGCAAGTGGGGCAGCGGAAAAGCTTCGGCCTGTCGTCTTCGGCGATGTAGCCTTATTCTCGACAAAGCGGTAATTTCTCCCGACACACTGAGACATGATCCCCGAGAACAGGTCCTGGATCCCGAGAATCCCCTCCCATCCACGGCGCCATTGCTTCATCGTGCCCACTCGCCCAGCCCACAGCAAACCCACGAACCTGTCGTCTTGCAGTGTGCGTCGCGATCTGAGTTTTTCCTCTCACACCTTTTTCACCTGGTGGTATCGTGCCTCTTGTCGGTTGCGTTTCTTTTTTCTTGCTGTTTTCTCTCGTTTCAACTGCCGTCGTCTGATCTACCGGCGATCGTCACTCGTCTCCCAACGTTACACACAATGGCCTAGTCAACACCCGCCGCGCCATTGGGCCTCTCTGGCGATGCCTTCAGCCTTCAGCCTTCAGCCTTGGGCCCTCGTCCCCATGGCCGAGTCCTGTCACCTGTCACCCGCGCCGCCTTGCAGCGTGGCTACCCCAATTCTCCAACACCCAGGGGTCGCATTTCTCCTCACCGGCACGGGAGGAAGCTCGAAACACCATACCCACACGTTCTCGCCTTCCTTCTGGAAGCGGCAGTGGCCCAGACGTCGCTGATCCCGCCGGGGCTGGGCCAGGGGTGTTCCTCAGGTACGTACGTGGTCATCCCGACGTCTCGTCATCGCGCAGCCCGGTACATGCAGCATGCATCATATCGTGCGTGTACAGTACGTAGTATGAGTTTGACTAACTGTTATCGACAATAGATCGTGAGTATCCAACACGCAATACGGATCAAGTCATAATGGCCGTGGCCAAATCGCCATGGCCCCAAATGCTCGCGCGCCAAACATCGCCGATATCGAGAGAAAGAAAAGCAGAAAAATTCAGCACCATCATCACCATCATCATCATCACCATCATCAACCTCACGCCTGGCCCTTCTCCTTGGGGCTCGTCACATGCGACTGGTAGTTGTTGATGACACCCTCGCCGGCCACCTCCTCCTCGAACACGTTGACCTTGGTCTTCTCAAACTGCCGCGCTGTCACCTTGTGCTCGAACAGCACGTCGAGCTCGGCAAACGTACGGCCGCGAGGCTCGGGCACGCGGAAGTACGTGTACACAAGGCAGAGGAAGCACAGACCCGCCCAGAAGAAGCCCGCCTTGTTCTGCCAATTCCACGCTGTAGGGTTCAGCATGTACGGCGTCACGACGTTGTTGATGATGCCGACAATATTGCTGCGATTGGTTAGCGAAGGAACCTCCCCTCCACAAAAGGCATCGACAAGACTGCGAGGAGATACGTACTAGAGGTTACGGCCGAGAACGACAGTCTTGATCTGCAGGCGACGCGAAGGCAGTTCCGACACGAGCGAGTAGCACACGGTGCCGACCGTCAGCTGGTACACGAGCGCCCAGAGAATCATCATGCTGCCCGTCGCCAGAGCACCCTTGTCACGCTGAGACTCGGGCACCTCGCCGAGGAAGCCCATGATGAACAGCATGGTGAAGAGTCCACAGAGACCGCAGAGATAGAGACGACGACGACCGACACCCCAGGCCATCAAGCTCCAGGCGCCAAAGACACCCACCATGTTGATGGCGTACTGGCCCATGGCGAAGCTGTAGGCATCACGCGACGAGAGACCGACCTGGCGGAGGAAGTATGTCGAGTAGTTGGAGAAGGAGTTGCCGCTGAGGTTCTGGATGGCCCACACGAGACACACAATCTCCGTGCGGCGCAGATCGATGCCCTTGAAGCAGTCGAGGTACGACGCGCCAGCGGTAATCTTCTCCTCGAGGGCAGCCGTGTGCACCATCATGGCGACCGTGTCATCGGCGTTGAAGTCCGTCTCGGTATTCTTGCTCGTCAGACGCAGAAGCGAGTGCTTCGCGTCGTCGACGCGGCCCTTGCGGATCAACCACCAAGGCGACTCGGGGGCAAAGTACACGCCAATCATGATGGGCACAGGCCAGATCCACTGCAGCGCGTAGGGGATACGGTAGGACCATTCATCGGTGCGGTCGAGCATCGAGGTGATGACACCGATGCCGATGAGCTGACCGAGACCCCAGCAAAAGTTGACGTAGGTGGTCAAGTGGCCACGAAGCGCAATGGGACAGACCTCGGCGGCGTACGTGATGGTCAGCGTCTGGAAGACACCCCACGGCAGACCGCAGAGAATCTCGGCGACGAGCAGCGTCTCGATGTTCTGGGCCGTGAAGAAGATGGTGATGAAGCCGGTCAGCAGCATCAGCGCACCAATGACGGTCCAGCGGTAGCCGAAGCGCTCGGAAATGTAGCCATTGAGGAACAGGCCAATGATCTCACCGACAGCGACACCGTTGGAGAGGCCGGCCTGCCAGGCGGCCGAGATCTCGTAGGTGCCGTCGGCCTGCAGCTCGCCGTACTTCTTCTTAAAGGGGTCGAAGGCGAAGAAGTTGGACACGAGGGAAATGTCGTAGCCCTCCATGACGATACAGGTCGAGATGAGCATACTCCAGCCAATGGCCTTGGGGTAGAGACGGATGCCCTGCATGAGCGTCATCTGCTGTTCCCTGCTGGAGGCGTCGCGGGCGCCCTGGACGAAGGCGTTGGACATTTTGGCATCGTCGGCAGCAGCGTGGGACTCGGCCGAGGCGCGGGCGCCGCCATGGTCGGCCACAGCTTTGATGTCTTCCGACATGGTGATGGATGAGCGATCAAGTGATGACGCGAATGGTCGCCGTAGAACGGACACCAGTGCTCACGAACAGGCTGATTGTTGGATAGGGAGGGGACAGTGAGGTAGTCGCGAGAGTCTGGGAAAAGTGCGCGTGCGCGTGGAGAGCGAGTGCAAAGTGCGTGATCGGATTCCGGAGGGGGGGGTCTTTGTGAGGTTGGCGAAAAAAACCAGGACGCTATCAGGAGCGGTCTCCACGCAATCCACAATTCCACCCCGAGGCGCGGATCGTGGTTGGGTGCAGGGCGAAAAAGAAGAGGGGAGGATGAAATGACCAAATGGAGCAGTCCAGCAAGGCACACAGAGGCGATATGATGGATGCCAAACTCCAAGCCTGGGGAAAGGCGCATTTATGTTGATCCCACCAGTGTGTCTGCTGCATTGCTCGACTCGAGTGACAATCCCCGTGCAGGACCGCAGGACCTCAGGTACCTCCTGCCCAAGTTCATGTCGGTCTGGAGCTAAAAACCAGGAAAGAAGGAACGAAGTCCGGGGAAGGTGGCGCCCGGGCATCTCCAACTAGGTCGATCCCCTGGCCTCCTCACCTTCCCCCTCTTCTCCTTCTCCCCCTCATGGCGTCAAGGGCCCCCTTCCACTGAGGAGGATGCCAATTGCGCTGTCTCTGACTGGTGCTGGCAGACACTGCAACGTTTCCCCTCCCGCCGCTTGACTCGTGACAGCGCCAGGGAGCAGTGCACGCGGGTTGTTTTGTCGAGTGTGGGGTAAAAAAAAAAAGAGGCGCCTGCAAGTCGGTACTTGTTACGTCGTGGCCTGCCTTGTGTCCCGTCGGTTGTTTTCTGTGGCTGGGCAATTTAATCTACCTACCCTGCCTGCCTACCTACCTTAGGTACGGTAGATACGCCCTCTGTGCTTCTTGCCTTGCTTGAATCTGCACTTGCCTACCAATCAGGGTACCAACTGACTGCCTTCTTGCCGGGTGGAAGGCCGCTACAGTGCAGATAGCCCGCACCGTCCGGTCACACAGTGCCACGAGCCGCTTCACAGCGCTTGCCCATTTCTCGAGGTATCGGCCAAATCCTCTTCCCACTGACAAGTGAATTCTCCCCGCGTTCCCATTGAGACACTTTTCTTCCCTAGAACCAAGACACGAACCAGAGCACCAAAACCCCCAGATTTGCCCGACCCCAGATCATCCCCCCATGCGCAGTCCCGCCTGAACGACGTCCCCCCCCCCCTCCCCCGCGGGTTTCACGCCCAAGGGATGCTGACTCCCGAGGCTGCTGATTCGCTGAGTGCGACCACATGGTGAGTCTCATCCGTCCGATCTGATCTGTTCCCCATTTCGCCCGTTTTTGCCTTTGTCTCCACACTGGCGATTCTCGTCGAGAATATCCCCTTTGGTGCTTTCCCCCTCCCCTTTTCTCAAGAGCCGCACCGGCTGACGACTACATACAAACTCAGTGAGCCGTGTCGGGAGCAGCATCTGAAATGTAAGTCATGAACCATCGTGCGCTTCTCCACCTCGTGGGAAGCTCCGAGCCTGAAAGGCAGCCCCCCCCAAGCTGACGAACGAGATAGGTGATCGTGTCCTGCCATCTTGTGGGCGGTGTGCCGCCAGCGGGCGCGAGTGTGTCAAGGGATACAAGTTCAAGGCCCTGCGGCATGCGCCCTTTGGTCGCGCACAGAAGTGGCCCCGGCCCGGTGGTCGACTGAGGTTCGTCGTCGAGAGGGGTGACGGGGTCGAAGATTCGGACAATACGAATCACGACATGGAAGACCAGGGGGGCAAGGACACCATGATGATCAGCGCCCATCAGAACGGCAGCTCCGATGCCCCACGAGGTGTGGAATCACCCCTCCACCACCTACCCGGCAGCTTCGTCACATTTGGCACTGGCATCACAGACGGCATATCAAGCATCCACGGGCCAGACACCGGTAGAGTCCCGGCCACCCTCGGCCTCTCACACACCAGACGCTCAGGCGGCACAGCTGCGGTCCAACATCTACCTCGACCGCCCCATCTGGCCCATCGAGAGCCGTGAAGAGGCCGTCCTGTTCCGGCACTACATCCAGAAGCTGTCCATCTGGGTACGTTGTCTTCCCCACCAGCCAACCCTCTGCATTGCCATGTCATAGCTACCGCAGCTAACGAAAGTGCAGCTCGACCTCTGCGACCCAGACGCCCACTTCAACACGTCTATTCCTGCCCGAGCCGGGACCTGCCCCATTCTGCTGAACGCCATCTTTGCTCTCTCCGCTCGTCATCTGGCGCACACGCTCCGATACGACGCTCTAGCTTCGAACCGTTACCACGAACAGTGTCTCACTTACCTCATCCCATTACTCGATCATGCCGTCACTGTATCAGATGAGAATCTCTTTGCCGCCACCATCATCTTACGCGTCCTCGAGGAGATGGACGTGCCTGTTCTCGGACAGGATACCCACGGCCATCTCCTTGGTATCCACGCCTTTGTCGCCCCCCATTCCGCCCCGCCCACGCCGACAACGCCCGATCCTGGTCCGAGGAGCCCCCTCTCCCCCCATTCGCTCTCGGCCGCCTGCTTCTGGGTCGGGCTCCGTCAGGAAATCTACAGTGCTGTTATGAACCACCAGCCGGTGCGCATGAATCTTGCCCACCCTGCCGTCGTCGACCGGTCCACTACGCCGGCGGATGACTATGCCTGGGCAAATCGAGCCATTGTGCACTGCGCGGACGTGCTGAACTTTTGCTTCGGTCCGGACCACGCTGACCGGCCGAGGTGGCATGCCCTCCGCGAAGCGAACAAGAACTGGAAGGCCGCGCTGCCGGCGTCGTATATGCCTGTGTTTTACCGCGAGAGAGATCTCAATGCTGCCGAGACTGGAGATGCTGAGGCTGATGCCATGAAGGCCTTTCCGGAAGTGTGGTACTGGAAAGGTTGTCACAGTAAGTATCCTCCTCATTTCTGCTGGCGAAGCACATCACTGTGTAGAACTCCCGCGCCTCATTCCCTTTCACATCACGCAGCACCGTCCGTTCACAGCCCAGATCGCTGACCTGAATAGTCATCGCCGTTCAACACCACATTTTAGCAGAGCTCTACCTCGCACTTTTCGATCCCGCCCATCCCCGCACTGGCCTCCAGCGTCGCGCTGCCGACGCCGCTCTCGCGTCCCAGGCGCGCACTCTTGTACGCAGCTTGTGTGGGATCGGCACCTGCAACCGATGGTGTCCGCCCGCCATGTTCACGGCCTGCATGGGCGTGGCTGCAGCGGGCGACCGGTTTGAGGATAGAAGGGACCAGGAGGCGTTGCTGGCGCTTCTGAGAGCTACCGAGAGGGAGCATGCCCGGCCGACGCGCGCGGTGTGCGATCTGCTCAAGGGATGCTGGGGATGGGATCAAAATGAGACATGACTGGGTGGAAATGAGATATGATATGTATACAACTCTTTGCTCGAGTAGGGCTGAGTAACTCCTTACGGGCTGAACAAGCCCGATAATACAAGCGACTCAATATGTCATTTGTCCTCAAACATAGTGGGTGTTGTTATAAAATGGCAGGTATAGGGATAAGCCTTGGCGGTGAAGAGCCTATATGCTGGCATGCTTGAGCAGGCCATGGAGTCAGTTTGATGGAACTGCTTCTTAGTCTCAAAGATAGGAAACACATAGAGAACAGATAGCGTGGACGCGAGAACAAGTATGGGCAAGACCTAATGTGCACGAAAAGCTAAGGCGTTACGGCATCCACGTTGGCATCTTTCTATGTTGACAGTATGATGCAGGTGAATTCGCAATTAGAAGAGGCTGATGAAGGCCTGTCGATGTCGCTCGAGCTGAATCCTTGGACTGATTCACACGATCCGCGTCAAAATTCAAAACTGCGTGGTAACAAGGAGTTGATGATCGAACACAGTCCGCGCGCTCCAGGCCTGTGGCTCTAACCACACTCCTTACTTCTCGGGGCCATACGCCCAGCACCTACCCACCATTCTCCCACAACGGATACGCCAGGATTTGGTCAATTGCCAACCTCACCGCAGGATCCGGGTTCGTCATGCGAGAACTCATGTCCTTGCCGCGCGGGCCCAACTCATTCCCCCCATACTCAACACTCAGGCTGGGCTGATCTCTCAATGAGATCTCCGCAATCCTCGACGCTCTCTTCAGAGCTTCACACGAGGTCTCATGGCGAACCTGCTCCAGGAGTCTTGGTGGAGCGGGACCGAAGTAGGCAAGGTGTCCGGCGAGGATCTCATGCTTCGGCGTGATGCCCGTCGCGTCGAGCGCTTCGTACCCGTTCAGGAAGAGAAGATCACCGCCTCCGTGGACGTATGTACACTATGGCCATAGTTTTAGTTGGTAGGAAACTCGGCACGGAAGAAAGTTGTACGCATCACGAGCCCGAACAAACAGATGTCTGATGCCTTGGTGACGCCCCTGCCCTTCTGCCCTTCCGGGCTCCACCACATGATGTTTCCCGTGGCATGCGGTGTCTGGCGCGAACTGCTGGGGGCCAGCTTGCGGGCGACGTTAAAGTCGCCGGGGACTGCGTCCGTGGCTGTCTTGGTATTCTGCTCGTCCGAGGCCCAGTTGAGAAGAATGTTGTGAGGCCTGGGTCGTCTCTGACCAGGTCGAGAAGCATGCCGTTGAACTAAAAGTAGGCCAGTGCGTTTTCCTCCGGTTGCAATCAATGTGCAGCTGACGTCTTTTAGACATTGCCAGATCATCTGAGAGACGGAGGGACTTTCTATAGGATGGTCTCGGAATGCGTTTCACAACGCACGGTGTATATCAGACCTTGCGGGGCTTATTTTGGATGAGGCTGATGGAGTGAAGGTGAGTTTATAGACGTAGTCGGCTTCTTGCGTACAGAATCGGGGGTCGAATTGAGGCTGAAGAACCTAGCCCTGCATAAATATTCGACCGGACTGGCCTGTCAGGTAGGATACCATACTCGCGAACCTGCGACACGACAGTCGATGGGAGGCTGCGTTGAACATTGGCCGGCTTGGAAGCCCAGGAGGAACTGTACGCCGTCTGCGAATAGTCATTGTTGACGGGGTCTGACATCAGGTCGTCGATCCTATGAGTCGCAGTAATACTGCCTTCCCTACGTCAGCATCGGCCTGGAGTGTGATTTGGGGTTCCCGTTAACAGTGCACTCTTGGGTGGCTGATCATGGTGGTTTTGCCTCAGTTGTGAGGATAATGAAGTCAACAGCCTTTCGGTGCCATTGTTTGCCAGGCCGCAAAGGGACCTTCCAGGAAGACAGTCTTCACACTTGAAACCAATCACTTTTGCGACAATTAATCCGTGAACTCGTTTTCCCGCCTGTTGGATCTACCCTGTTGGCCGTTCCGTTGACAGAGCCATCTTTCAATCATGCCCACGGAACAACGAGTGCAATGCCACGAACACGAACACCAAATGCAAAGCTGTGGTTATGCCAAGAGCAAAGAGAAATTTCCCAAGATTTGAAGTCCATGAGAATAGAAGCAACTCATCATTAACCGCACGTTATAAGCGGACGAAAGTCAGGCACACCCATTTGAAGAGGGTTCGACGAGACAACAGCCGGTGAAAATGCCACTGGTGCGCCTTTCGGACAGTCTTATCATTCTTCGAAACGTCAAGTCTTCAATGACGCGGCATCTCGATCACGCTACTGCTTCTCAGAAACTTCTGGCAGGAGTTCGTCGGCAAGACATTGTGTTCAGCTCACACTCAAAACTGGCATTCTACGGCAGTGAAAAAAATGGTCCCCATCATCCGAAATTTACAGTCCGACGCCTGCGCCTTCCTATAAATTAGGCATGGCCCGGTTAAATACTGTCTAGAAGCGCTGTGAAAGGCTAACCGAGAACACAAGTCAAATCCGTCAAAGGAGATGAGGCCCGAATAGCTTGCGGCACAGCGCTGCGTTGAGCAGCTAGCCTCTGCTGCGGCGAGGTACATGATGCAACTCGAAATGAGGGTGTCCGTCGCGTGTCAATCTCGCGCGCCAACCCCACCTAGGCGGGGGCAGCGAAGCCCGGCTGGCTGCTGCAGGACGAAGTCGAGCCGCCATGTATGCGATGCTTGCTGTTGCTGGGTGGATGGCTCCGGGGGGAGAGCCTGCGTCTCAGGGTCGATTAATGGGCAGATATTCCTGCAGATGAGTTCGCAGCAAGTGTGGCTGCTTGTTCTGGCGGCGCAGTGTTTTCTGTTCACTTTTAGGGGCAAGCCAGACCCAACTCTCTCACGCTGCCCATCTTTGCGCCTCGTCCCAGATCTTCTTCACCACGAGAGACGCAGACGGCATCCATTCACGGTGAACGATCGGACCCCGCTATATGTCCATGAAGCTGACCGATCCGTGGTGGCTCTGCCTGACTTGCCATGCCGCACTCCCAGATATTGGATGCGTCCCAAACGAGACCAGCTCGGCAAAGGCGGCGCCGTAGTGCTCAGAGTATCTCACGAACCCCACTCTCATCTTCACCAACACTCTACCCGTCCCACTAAATGGAATAACCCCTGCAGTAGTTGGTCCTTTCCGGGTCAAATGTCCAGGCAGCAAGCCAATGAGGCCCTCGGCCAAATTGAGGCACCGTTGTGGATGGTCTAGTCCCCGGTATGAGGCCTCGGTAGGGCTGAGCAGCTCGACTCTCCTTCCTATACAGGCCGTCGGTGATGGATGTGACTCTTTCGAGATGGGTTTGATCAGATGACATTGGGTCGGCAGCCTATTGAGCGCTAAGCAAAGCCGTTGAAGGTGCCGCCAGGGCTGTATAAGTACTCGTGGTGTCGACTGATTCATCGCATCATCAGGCCCTCCCGGTGTCAGATGCTGGCGAACTCAGTCACTGTAAAGTAGCGTCAAACGGAACCGACGAGCGCCCCTTTTCTTATCGGACTCGACCAAAATCTCCTTCTCTGCTATGAAATTCAGTACTGCGTTCATCGTCGCCCTTCTCGGCGTCGGTGGTCCGGCCGCCGCTGGACCCGGCAGACGTCGACAAGCAGACCCCGTTGTCTCTCTCTCTGCCACCCAGACGGGGGTGATTTCAACGTCGTCGACCCCCTCGCCCACGTCAACAGTGCCTGCCACCAGCACGACGTCAGCTGGCAATGGGATCCAGACCCCGTCGCCCGTCCAGCCCAACATCGTCAGCAACTGCGCGCAGTTTCATCTCGTCGTTTCGGGAGATCGGTGCTCGACAATTTCGGCCAAGTACGGCATCCCCGTGGATCGGTTCCTGGAATGGAATCCGGCTGCCTTGAGCACCTGTAAGGGTCTCAAGACGAATGCGTATGCTTGCGTCTCCGTCATCGGCTGGTCGCCCTCGCCGACGAACCCGAACAACGGCATCCAGACGCCTCTGCCGGCCCAGCCAGACGTCGTCAGCAACTGCAACCAGTTCCACCTCGTCGTCTCCGGCGACAGGTGCTCGACGATTTCTGCCAAGTTTGGCATCCCGGTCGACGCGTTCCTCAAGTGGAATCCCGGTGCCTTGAGCAGCTGCAAGGGCCTCAAGACGAACGCGTACGCCTGCGTCTCGACCATTGGGTATCTGCCGTCGGCGGCCAACCCCGGCACCAACTTCCAGACGCCAGCCCCGACCCAGCCGGATCTCGTCAGCAACTGCACAACTTTCACCTTCGTCGTCGCCGGCGACCGGTGCTCGACCATCGCGGCCAAGTACAGCGGTTCCCGTGGCCAAGTTTTCTCCAGTGGAACCCGAAAGCCGGCAGCAACTGCGCGGGCCTCCCGGCGAAACGCCTACGCCTGCGTGTCGACGTGGGGCCACACGCCGACCAAGCCCGACAACGGCATCGCCACGCCGTCGCCGGCGCAGCCCAAGATAGCCGACAACTGCGACGCGTTCGTCATGATCGAGCCCTTTGACGCATGCAGCGACGTCGCCCGGAGCGCCGGCATCAACCTCGCCGACTTCATCAGCTGGAACCCGAGCGTCGGCGCCGGCTGCAACTCCCTCAAGCCCAACGCCTACGCCTGCGTGTCCGTCATCGGGCACACGCCGACGACGCCGGGCAACGGCATCACGACGCCGCAGCCGACACAGCCAGACGTCGTCAGCAACTGCAACAAGTTCCACCTCGTCGTCTCGGGCGACCGCTGCTCGACCGTGGCGGCGCGGTACGGCGTGCCTGTGGCCGAGTTCCTCGCGTGGAACCCGCAGGCCGGCAGCAACTGCGCCGGACTGCAGCGCAACGCCTACGCCTGCGTCGGTGTCGTCGGGTTCACGCCGACGCCGACGAACCCGGGCGAGGGTGTCGTGACGCCGGCGCCGATCCAGCCGGGCATGGTGGCAACGTGCAAGACGTTTCACTTTGTTGAGAAGGGGCAGATTTGTGCGACGATTCAGAACCGGTACAGGGTGACGTTGGCGGACCTTGTCAAGTGGAACCCGGCGATCGGGGCCGATTGCACGCTGATGTGGGCGGACAGCTACCTTTGCGTTGGTGTTTTGTGAGGAGTGCGGTGATTCGTCCAAGGCGGCTGGCTGTATGGGTTGATCAGCTTAACATGAGTACTCTTCCAACTGTTCATCGTGATACTTTTCGGGCAGGTGAACATGATGAGGTACTATTGGGTATTGCGTCGCGTCTATTTCGATTCCACACCGGGTCGGGCGTAGTCCAGCTCCCTGACCCTCCTCCAGACCTCGCGGACGACCCTCTCCTGTCCTTGCCGGCCGGTTTCGGTGTCCGAGGGTCCCGCAGGCCTGTGGCGTTAGCGTCAAGGGGAACGGCGCAGAGGTTCGGGATGGCCGCATACCTGATGGCCAAGTAAAGCCTGCCGCCCAGCTTGGCCTCGGGGATGTCGACGGTGGCCGCGTCGTCGGGTGGGTTGGCCGTCGTGACGAGACCGCCGGCTTCCTCGAGGATGGCGATGCCAGCAGCGACGTCCCTGTGGGGGTGTCAGATTCGAACGAGACGAGGTGGATGAAGCGGTCGGGAAGTACTCACCACTCCCAGCATCCACCTTCCCACCAGATGTCGAACGCGCCCATGGCGGTGTAGGCCAGGTCGAGCGTCGCACTGCCACGTCAGCATGGAGGCCTCGACTCACGTCTGAAGTCACCAGACTCGGAGCCGGGGAACAGACACCGAGCCGGGAAGCAGACTCGGAGCCGGGAAGCAGACTCGAAGCCGGGAAGCAGACGCCGAGCCGGGAAGCAGACTCGGTGCCAGGAAGCAGACTCACCTCCCAAGACTCCGCATGCCGTGGACCATGGCGCCCTTGCCGTCGCGGCCGCCGACCTCGGCGGCCATGTTGACGAAGCTCTCGACCTTGCGGTGCATGTTGCCGTCGGGGACGTCGCGGCGGTCCTTGCCCCACTCGCAGGCAAAGATGCAGCCCTTGGGGGCGGCGGCGGGCAGGGCGGGGACGGCGGGGTCGCGCAGCAGGGGCAGGCGCTGGGTGTCGTTGAGCCAGGCGCCGCGGCCGCGGCAGGCGGTGAAGAGCTGGTGGAGGAAGGGGGCGTTGATGACGCCGATGACGGGGCGGCCGTGGAGGGCGAAGCCGATGGAGACGCAGAAGAGGGGGAACAGGTGGGTGAAGTTGACGGTGCCGTCGAGGGGGTCGATGATCCAGGTCGGGGCGGCGGTGACGAGGTAGTCGCGCGAGGCGCCGGCCGAGTAGGACTCTTCGCCGAGGAAGCTGTGGGTGTTAGTGCTGTCTGCAGGAGTGTCTGCAGGAGTGTTTGAGGAGTGTGTGTAGGCTGTCTGGAGGCTGTCTGGAGGAGGAGGCTCTCGGGGGAGGGGAGAAGGTCTCGACAGGGTCTGCTGTCTGGAGGCAGAGGACGCCACGGCACGTACGCGTGTGAGGGGTACTTCTTCTCGATGGACGACCGGATGAAGGCCTCCATGTCTACGCGCGTCAGTCCACTGCATGACAAGTCTGCTGGCTTGAGTCCTCGGCCTGCTCACCCTGGTCGACCTTGGTCACGATATCGACGGCGTTGTCCTTCTCCTCGAAGGCCTGCTCGCCGACAGCGGCGCCGGTGAAGCGGGCCATGGCGAACTTCATCAACAGGTCGCCGGCGTCCTTGCCGAGCTGGACGGCAAAGTCGTAAATCTCGTGCAGCTCGGCATCGCTGATGTCGGCCATGGTGTCGTCTGGTTCTGGAGGCTGTAGATGGGTACGGAGAGGTGTTGGATGCAGGAAGGCAGCGGCCGCTACAGGCCTCCCAGAAGCTTTACCTCCCAGGTGCCTCCCTCCTGCTCTGCCTGCCTACCTACCTACCTCCTGCCTAACTACCTCTTACCTACCCACCTAGTCACGTAGGTACCTGCCTAGGCGGCTGGCAGCTATAGGAAGCTGCGATCGGAATGGCAAGGCCGCCGCCAGCCGAGATCGGCGGCCAGAGTTCCGCTGAGGGGCCGCAGGCGGGTTGGTGCTGCTCCAGGGTTCTGCTCCAGGGTTCTGCTCCGGGGTTCTGCTTCAGGGCTTGGGAGCTGGGGCTTGGGGGGTATTGGGGGCTTGGGGCATGCTTTGGTGGGGGCCTACCTGCTAGGTACTTAGGTGCCACCCAGGTGCCTATGTACCTAGGTACCCAGGTACTCTGGGAACATCTCGACCTCACCGCGATGATCAACCCACAGACTGACCATCCAGGACCATGGTCATCAAAGGCAATGCCAAAGACCTGTTCTGCAACATGCTCGAACAGTCGGGCCCCCCCCCCCACACAGATCTGGTGGCTGCAGCGTGGATCTCGTGACGACGACGCTGCCGCCCATGGGGTACACACCCACGTGTATCCTATGCTCTCTCTCTCTCGGGGCACCAGGAAGAAGACTTATCCAGCGCCTTGGACGACACTCTTCCGAACCCGTCCTTCGTTGCCGCAACGTCTCCTGGCCCGGTCATCCGAGGTCATCAGTCGGCAGCCATGGCCGCACTCATGCTGGCCGTACGCATGCTGAACGTACGCATGCCTGGCCGTCACTCTAGCCTGGTAAACATAGAGGCATGTACGTAGCAGCGGCAACGAAGAAGAAAACAAAGAAAAACAAGATGGGACGCCCCATCTCATGGAACCTCTCATGACTGTGTCTCATGACTGTGATCCCATTGTGCCTTCATAGCCCTCGACCCTTAGTCTTCAACCACACAAACCCGCATCATGGCCGCGCGCATCCTCCTCATCAACGGCCCCAACCTCAACCTCCTCGGCACCCGCGAGCCCAGCGTCTACGGCTCGACGACCCTCGCCGACGTCGTCGCGCAGGCCAAGACCCAGGCCGCCAGCCTCAACGTCCACCTCGAGGCCTTCCAGTCCAACCACGAGGGCGCCATCGTCGACCGCATCCACGAAGCCCGCGGCGCCGTCGACGCCATCGTCATCAACCCCGGCGCCTACACCCACACGAGCGTCGCCATCCGCGACGCCCTGCTGGGCGTCGACATTCCCTTTGTCGAGACGCACATCTCCAACGTCCACGCCCGCGAGGAATGGCGCCGGCACAGCTACTTTAGCGACAAGGCCGTTGCCGTCATCTGCGGCCTCGGCACCTATGGCTACACGGCGGCCATTGAGTTTGCGGCGCGCCACATGAAGATGAAGGACAGGGTGTAGTTTTTTTTCTGCCACAAATTCAAGTCATGTTTCGTCTTCTCTGCAACAGTGTGGTGCCGTATTGTACGTATCATATGCCAGTATTCTTTTGCCGTATCATATGTCAGCATCATTGTGTCAGTATCATATTTCAGTGTCATATGTCAGTATCATAATTCAGTGTCATATGTCAGTATCATAATTCAGCGTTATATTTCAGTATCATATGGTCAGTATGTGCCATGTTAGTGCAGCCAGAATGCCAGAATGTTGTCATTGAACAAGTGAATACATAATCACACCCAAATTACATCGAAAACAACAACGCTACTCTCAACCCCCGCTTGATCCCTGTGCTTGCGTGCTGCTGCTTGCCTACAGAGATGCCGTCACCGGCAGCACCGGCTCCTCCACCCTCATCCTCATGTCCCGCACGAGCTTGGCAAACGACGCCGCCCCCCTCTTCGCCAGCTCCTCCGGCACCCCGGCGTCCTCCTGCGACATGCGCCGGTTGAACAGCTCGAGGCTCACCCACCCCTCGAACCCGAGACCCTGGAAGATGGCCGACGCGACCGCCCGCACGGGGAGGTACCCGCCGCGCGCCTGCTCGCCGTAGAACAGCCGGCAGTTGCGCGACCAGCTCATGCGCGCCGGCTGCTCGGCGTGGTAGAACGCGTGGCCCGCCCGCAGCGGCGCCCGCAGCCGCTCGGTCGTCGACGACCTGCACGTAGAAGATGCGCGCCACGTCCACCGTCGCGACGAGCCGCTCCATCGACGCCCGCAACGCCTCGTCCGCCTGCGGCAGCGCCCCTTCGGCGACGTCGGGTCGGCGTAGATGCGCGCGCAAATGTTGAACGTGTCGAGGCAGAGCCCAAAAGTTGGGCCGGTCGACGCCCAGGACGACCTCCCAGCTCGCCTTCCACGTGTCGCAGCGCGCGCCCCAGCCGAGGGACTCGAACGAGAAGCGCAGCGGCGGCGTCTCGGCGGCCCCCATGTCGGCCCCCTCGCGGAGGTCGGCGATGTGGTCGGCCAGGTCGGCCGAGACTTGCTCTTGCGGCAGCACGTTGCTCGGGATCTGGATGAGGTCGGTCTGCAGGGCGTGCGCGAGCTGGAACCAGATGCGGAGCTCGTCGAGTCGCCGCGCGTGCTGCGCGCGGTCGAGGAGACCCTCAAAGTGCTGGAAGGGCTGGAGACAGAGGATGTGGAGGTTCCGGGCTTCGCAGAGACGCCGGACGTGGTGGGCCGCTGTGAGCTGGTTCGACACGAGCGCCGAGCCGCCCGTGTATCGGTCTGCCACGTCCATGAGGTCCTCGTGCCAAAGCTCGATGCCGCGGTAGTTGTATTTCGCTGCCATGTCGAGCTTGTGTTCGAGAGCGTGGCC